ATACGCCCCCTTGTTTTCAACACACTTATTCCATCGTTCTTGCCACTTTCTGAAGCAGTTCTGAAAGTCCTCATTCATGAGTGTCTTTAGTTGTGCTGTCACGGCTGCCTCGATGTCCCGAATTAATTTAAAAGGTTTACCTTTCATGGTCATTTTGACTTTGGGGAAGAGTCAGAAGTTGCACGGTGCCAGATCCAGTGAATACGATGGATAAGGACACACCATAACGTTTTTTATTTGACAGAAATTGCCATATACCAGAAGTGATGTGTGACACAGAGTGTTGTCATGATGGAGGATGATTTATGGCACACTTTAAAGCACACCTCTCAACCGTAGCTCACACCCAGCTGACTGCACTGAACAAGTTGAAACTTGTCACACACTAGTACTAAGGTTCAAAGCATCGCTTCCCCTATTAAAGATCCCTGCCTTTCTGTTGGATGGCACTCGGCAGCAGCATTCACAATATGTTTTGATCACAATGAAAAGGCTCCGTGTCACACATCGTTTCTGGTGCGGCAATTTCTGTCAAATAAACACATTATGGTGTGTCCTCATCCACCTTATTTACTGGATCTGGCACCATGTCATTTCTGGCTGTTCCCCAAAGTCAAAATGACCATGAAAAGTAAACATTTTGAATTGAGTCAGGACATTGAGGCAGCCATGACAGCACAACTAAAGACACGAAAGAAGACTTCCAGAGCTGCTTCAGAAAGTGGCAAGAACGATGGAATAAGTGTGTTTGAAGCAAGGGGGAGTATTTTTTTTTAAAGATTTTATTGGGGAATTGGGGGAGGGAAACAGTGTTGGGGAATTGGGGAAGGGAAACAGCTAAGTTGTTGTCCTTCAATCTTAGTTGTGGAGGGCACAGCTAGCTCAGCTCCAAGTCCAGTCACACAGCTCAGCTCAAGGTGCTGTGTTCAATTAGTTGTAGGTGGGCGCAGCCACCAACCATCCCATGCAGGAGTCGAACCAGCAGCCTTGTTGTTAAGAGCGCGCACTCTATCCTCGGAGCCACCCGGTGGCAGCTCAGCTCAAGGTGCCGAGTTCAGTCTTTAGTTGCGGGCAGGCATAGTCCACCACCTCAAACAGGCAACCTTGTTGTTAGGAGCACGTGCTCTAATCAGCTGAGCCATCCTGCTACCCTTTGGCAGCTCAGCGGCAGCTCAGCTTGGGCGCAGCTCACCGGCCCTTGTAGGAATCAAACCGGCGACCCTGTTGCCCAGAGCGTGCACTCTTTTTTTTTTTTTTAAGATTTTATTGGGAAATTGGGGGAGGGGAACAGTATTGGGGAATCAAGGAAGAAGAACAGACAAGTTGCTGTCCTTTTG